TTGGTTCTAAGTGACAGGCAGGGAAGGGGCTGGGGCAGTGTCCCCTGCATCAGGAGCCCATGAAGATGACTTAGATCTTCCATCAAACCTGGACTGGAGCAGTTCTGTTCTCAGCTAGTTGTGAAGGTGGCTGAGCTTGGGGAACCTGGCTGTGCTTTAGGAATGGATCCTCCATACCTGTTTTCAGCTGCTGCAGGGGATGCCCCTCGAGTTCCAGCCTGTTGTCCTGGCTCAGGTGAAGTGCTGGGTTTTAACTGTTCTTCATTTCGTGTAGGTGTGGGATCATCCCCGAGCCCCACAGGGGGAGCTAAAGCCTGGGGAAAAGCACTGCTGGAGCGGCTGAGTACAGTGAAGATGTCCCACTGCTGTGGGTTCCGATCCCTGCTGCTGCAGTCTTGGACTTTGCTCAGGATCCTCTGGAAGATACTTTGTGGCTCCTTCCAGCTTCCTGGTTTTTCTTCCCTCCTTCTCCTCTCGTTCCACCATACATCTTAAATTGTTTGGAGTTTGGCTTTTCAGTCTGACAGGACAAATGTGTTGTGAGTTCTGGGGTGAATGAATGTGGGTGTAGGGAAACTTTAGTTGCTGCTGAATAGGACTGCCCTGGGTGTGGGTTCCAGTCCTCATGTGTGAGCTCTGCTGGGGAGCTCTGGCCTGGCTCACACTCTTCACTTGAACGTGGACAGACATCGGTTTGTGGTGGAGATGGATGGTTCCTCTTCATGCTTTGTTCCTCCTTCTCAGTGGCCACGGGTTGTTCCCAGGGTTTGTGGTGGCTGCATGCTTACTGCCTGCTGGGGATGTCTGAACTCTGGGGGCATCTGGGTGTCTTCTCACAGCAGGGAGGGTGCATCTGCTGTGCTCTGTTCTTGGCATGTGGGTGCCGGATCAGAGCTGGGAAGGCTCAGCCTGTTGTTTGCTGTTTGCAGGTGCTGTTTGAACCTATTGACAACTCCTTGCTTGTGTTTTTTTTAAATATTTTCTCCAACTTCTACAAAATAAAGTTGTGTTTCTTTACCAAGGTGTTGTTCAAGCGTGTTGTGGTGGGCCTTTCAGGGCCATCAAGAATATGGATCCAAGGTCTTTCTTCAGGTTTCTTGTGTGTACCTTCAAGGTTGTGCTGGAGGACAAATCTCTTGTGTCTGTGTAGACGAATGTCTCTTCATATCTCTTTTGTGTGCATAGCATGCAAAGCCTTTCCGATCTTTTTGAGCAACCTGTTCACCACTCTGCACTATTGATTCCCACTGGACGATTGCTGAGAACTGTGATAAGCTCCAAGCGTGTGGGCCTTGCTTTCCGTACGTGCTGTTGACCTTATGGGCTGTGGCTCTTCAGCTATGCAAGATTACTAACATTATCTAATCATGAAAATACAAATTGAATTTCCTCCATGTGAGGCTATGCTGTAAAGTGTGTGGGGCTAATGCTGGTGAGAGCTGGAGCTTTCCCAGGCCTTGCCCAAATAGAGAAATTCAGATTTTTATGAAAAAAAAAGGGGCAGGCTGTCAGCTGAGCAATGCTGTGTAAGTTGTATGCACTCCAAGCAGTGACAGAGCTTTTCTTGGCTGAAAACTTCATCCATCTCACAGGACTGGGAGGAGCTGAGCCCCAGTGCAAGCAGTGGTGCAAGCCTATGACTATTTTTACAACTGATTGAGCAACTATGTCTGTTTCTAGGGTTGCACAATGCTTCCCATCTGAGATACTTGCTTTTCTGTGGCTTAGAATTGTACCCCAAATTGATCCATAAATGTTCTCTGCTAGAGGCCTGCTGCAGGGCCGGCGAGGAAATGAGTCCAGATGCTGCAGAGAGCAAGCAGAGGGAAGCTTGTTTATTCTGCAGTGTTAGAAGTGATAGGCAGCTCCTTGCAGTATTTTGGCTGCTCTGTCAGGGGGATTTGCTGACAATGCTCTGCCTTGTGTCTACAAGGCTTTGAAAAAAATGTTAGTTTGCACTTCAAGGGTTGTCTTTTAGTTAATTTATCCTGAATACTGCTGTGACTTTGCCCCTTGGAGCTCCTCTGCTCAGCTGCTCCAACGCAGAGACCTGGCCTTGGTGTTAGAATGCAGGGCAGGAGCTGCGTGCTGGCTTCCACCAGCACTTCTGGGGGTCTTAGAAGTTTGCAGAATGGCTTTGAAGATCTCAAGATGGAAAGAGCTGTAGGTGTGGAGTGTGTTGTCTGCCTGCTACGGACTGGAGGAGTGGAGCCTGGTGAGGAGAAGGAAGGAAAGGGCTGCAGAGAGCAGAGCTTGTTAAACGAAAGGAGCTGGAAGGCAACCAGGCAAAAGATGAAGATGACTTGGGGTGGTTGTAAGGAGAGGATAAAAACTCTCATCCATGCAAACCTGCAGGGAGCCATAGAATTGGATGCAGTGGCACGAGGTGGCAAAAGGCAAGTCTTGGCTGGCAAAACCATGCTTCTGTCCTGCACAGAAATGCAAACCCACTGAAGTTCAAGAGGGCACCGCGGGCATTTGGGCAGTCAGGTGCTTCTGCGGAACGAAGTGCAGATGGAGCTTTAATATGCAAGCATTCCAGCACTTTCTGAAACATCTGCTTCAGCAGACAATCATGCCAGTGGAGAAAGGACCGGGCAGTTCTCAGAGCAAGCTATCAGGGCCTAATCCAGTAAGTTCACAGATCTGCCTGCCCCTCTGTTCTTGTCTGGGGGATGTGTGTGTGGCTGAGGCTCTTCTGAGGTTATCTGACAGTTGCTGTGGAAAAGGAAGAAGGCTGGCAGGATGCCTCCCAGTATTGCCTTTGTGCAGCCAGGGTAGGGTCTTGCTTGCCTCCTAGTTGCAGAACTTCTTGTGTGCTGCTATTATCTGCAAAATGGGCCTGTTTTATCCAGGATCTGCTTTTACTGTTGATAGATGTTCAGATTGCCATGTCTACGTCTTGCTTACCTGTCCAGAAGCCCCTACACAGCTAATAAAGCAGTATCTGTATGTGACTTGTTTGCAGGTAAATAACTTGTTTGCTAAATTACGTCTCACTTTGAGGCTCCAGCTGTAGCTCAAGACTATGTGTGGTGTTGCCTTTCCCCTTCTATACATACAGTTCCTTCCCAAACTGTGAGTGAAAGAGCTGCCCGTGTCACTCATGGACAGACTGTGCTGTTGGAGTGCCTCCTAATGAGACTCCTTACCCCAGGCACTGCAGCTCCCAGCCTAATGGCAGCTTTTCCACGGCTTGCTGCTGCTGTTCTTAACTGCATATGTTGTCAGCAGATTGACTCTCCTGGCAGGTAAGCCTCATCTTTTAATTATATTTGCTCCCCTTTTGGCAGAGATAACAGGATGTTGTAGGGTTTGGCTGTGAGCTGGGTGTGAACAGTTCCTGCATGCTGGCGTGGGAGCTCTGAGGATGCAGTGGACAAGTGCAGAGGAGAGAAAATAGCAGTGCTGGGTTAATGCCTTCAGGCAAATGCACTGTGTTCTGGCAGCCACTGCCTGGCAGGTGATTTGCTGAGAGAAATGTGGTAGTAAAATTCCTATGAAGTTGGCTCTCTTGGTGCTGGCCCTGCTCTTTGCTCAAGTCCAACAATCTGAGCAGTTGGAGGCAGCAGTTATTGCCCTGCAATTACTGTGAAAGTTCAAGGAGATTTGCTCCCCATCCTGTCTCCCTTCATTGACATCTCCCAGGCTTGATGCTGATGGGCACCTTAGGGATGATGCTGTCTGGCTCTCGCTGTGATTGGCAAATACTCAAAGCATTCTGCTGTCATAAGCAAATATTTATGCTCTGATGAAGGACTTCTGATGGCAAATGCATCTTCTTTTTTATTTCCATCTATGTCAAGGTTATTTCTTTAAGCTCAGGGAAAGAGTTTAAAAACCGTGACAGAAAAGTCTTCTGTTTCACAATTACCAAATATTGGAGTAGCTGTCAGCCTGCCCAGAGCTCCCGGAAGAAAGGCACTCTTCAAAGGGCAGGGATTTTTTGTGAGAGGTTTGTCCTCCTTGCAAATTCGCCACCCTTGAGGCAGAATAACTCACGTGTCATTACCTTCTTCTAACTAAAGATCTATGAAAGTGAGAACTACGATAGCTGCTGTAAGCTGGCCCATTTATTTTGGGACTCTTTGAACAATGTTGGAAGGCAGGATGGTAACAGCTCCTTCAGTATTGCTGTTAGTACCTGCTGGCTGCAGATCCCCAGTGGGAACACTGAGGCTGGGTGAGAGTTGTTGGTGCAATGGATATCCTTTGCATCTCTGTGCAGCTAAAACCCCAAGGCATAGATATATGGGAGCATGGAGCAGGATTCTGAAGGATCCAGGAGTGTTCTTGATGTGAGCCACTGAGGACAGTTTCCATAAGAAGATTATTGACTTGGCTTTTGTGAGTCCCTTCCAACCTGGGTTATTCTATGATTCTATGACTTGTCACAAAATCTGACCAAACAGTGTTGTGGAGGTCGTTGTATTACAACAAGTCGAGGAAGGGATGAATAGCAGAAGTCTTGGAACTGTGTTCCCTGCCCTGAAGCAGAAGGGCTCTGTTCCCCTGTCCATTTTTAGAGTCTTGCCAGTTTCTAAGCTTTGCTTACAGTAAGAGCTGACAGCCAGTTAGTCCACCCTGCCCTGCAAATACAAGGCCACATGTATCACTTCCTACTGCCGACTGAACGTTTACATAAGCAGCTTTGGCAAGTACACCTATAGGAAGCAGTGCCTGGCTTTGCTCCTGCTGAGCCCTCACTATTTCTACTGCATGTTCTTTGCCCTTTAAAAGATCTATCCAGTAATATTACTAATGGATGCAAAAAGATAATCAAGGACAAAGGAAATACGCTGAGTAGATTGTGTACCTGATACCTTCATCAGGTGGGGATGCTGCAGCCAGCTGAGGAATGCATGCAGGACGCATGAAGCGTGTCTGGCTCGAGATTGGCGTTTCTTTAACTGGGTGTTAAAGACAGCAGGGCCAATAATGTGGTTTGGTTTTAGTTACTCTGGCTGCCAGGGGTATCTGTGAACTTTGTATTGTGCTGATGAACTCTAAGAGTTGTAGTTAATGGTTAACTAAGTCCTGGACTGCTGTAGGTAGTCTCCTCGTGTAGGAGGCTAATGCTGTGCCAGCAGCATGGTGCACCTTGCACAGAGCAGGAAAGCAACCGCTATGCTTTGATGTAAAAAGCAGCATGTTCTGTGCACTGACAAGAACGAACCCCAGAAGGAGGAACCTGCAGTCTGCAGCTGTGCCAAGAGCCAGCTGCTCTGCAGGGTGAGACCAGGTTTGGTATTTCTGCCTGGGGGTAGAGGTGTGCAACCTGGCTGCAGGGTTAGTGCAGCTCAGGGTTATCGCTGACCCATGGCAAAAGCCCTCTGTGAGGTTCCATGGAATGTTCTATTTTTGCTGGAACACGGTTGCCAGGCAGTGGCTGCAGCGAACAACAGATCTCCTGCTGTCAGTTTGCTGTGCACACCAGCGCTGGGGAACGGCACCTCTGGAAGACTTGGCCAGAAGTCCACCCTCCTCCTGGAGAGATGAGGCTGCTTCCCCTACAGCTGGCTCTGCTTTGAGTCTGGATCTGGCCCAAGCACATCTGACATTGGTGACATTCGGCAAGAAAAAGGGAGAGGAGATGTGCAGGAGAAGACACACGGGATTGGGAAATGACCCAACAAACATCTACTGACTTTGGCAGATAGAGCTGGCCATCGATTGGGCACTTCCTTCAACGTCATGGGGCGGGTTTCCTTTCCAAGGAGGGTGTTTCCATCCCCTGTGTCGTCTGTTTAGGCTATAAAAGTCTGGACTCAGCATCTGCAATTCAAACACCAAAATAGAGATGAACGGAGAAAAGCAGGAGAGCTCCAGCGTGGAGGAAGGCAGGAAGGGGGTAAGCATGCAGGCTGTTCTCAGCTCTGGCTCCCGTGGGCTTTGGGCTGTGCAGGTTTGTAGTGGAAGGGGACCAAGATCTCCTCGTTGGGCATCCGCAGAGAGGGAGAGCAGAGATTTGTATGTTTTTGAACCCAGTTTGTCTGCAGCACAGCTTTGCACTGAGTCTCCCAGTTTGCTCTGTGCATCTGACCTACCAGGCAGCTCTGTGAAACTCCCCTTCTGTCTGCGTGTTTTCTATCCTGCTTCCTAATCCTAAAAAGGCTGCAGAAGTTTCTGGATGAGGGCTGCCTTGCAAAGCAGCATTTGTGGGTTCTTGCACAACGCGTTGCTCCTGTGTGCCAAAGGTTTTCCTAAAAGTGGTGTGTTTATATAATTAACACCAGCGGCTCTTCTGAGCTCTGGGGATTTGCTTAACGCCAGCGAAGCAGCCTGCTTTTCATCACCACTGCAAGTTGTCAACAGTCTACTGTTAGAAAGCGGTGCTGGAAGGCTCTGCTTTCTCCTGCTGCAGATCGATTGGCTTTTCCACCTCCTGCAGTCCCTGAGAGTGCAGAGCTCTGCAGGAGCTGCTGAAGAGCTGGAGGGCAATGAGCACCAGCACTGTTAGGGCAAATGTTCAGTGAGGGCCATGTCAGTTCCTCCATGTGGGACCTGAGCTGTGTGCTGGGATGTGCAAAACTTGCAGGCGTTAAGGATAGTGAAAGGATAAGAAAATGGTACGAATGACAAGTGGAAATGGAAAGTGGTTTTATTGCGGCAGTGGCTTTGAGATGTATTAGTGAGCTACATTAAAAAAAAAAAAAGACAGCTCAGTCAACAAAGCAGGGCTGGCTGTGGGCTGAGGCTGAGGCTGAATGTTTGCAGAAAGCCTCTGTGGTGTGTTGATATAATTGTGGTAAGGACAGTGGGCAGGAAAGGGGCTTGCTGCTTCACCTAGAACCTTGTCTTCTTAAAGCTCTCCTCCAGCAGCATTCTGCTTTATTGCATCAATAACTTGCATGTTGGAGAAAGAATAATTGCATGCAATTTCTTTCTCACTGCAGGGTGGTATTGTAAGTGTAATAACTTGAAAATTGTTCATCATCCAAATGATCCATCAATACGGGAAAGAGTAGAATGGATTACTGTAATGACTGTCTGCAAATCAAGCAGAACAAAGGGAGTTAGGATGAAAGCAACCAATTGGGCTTTCTTTGTAGGGTAACACAAAGCCAAAAATATAACTGGTGAAGCAAAAGGTATTTCTGTGTTTTTACACAATGCCATTTATGCTTGAAAGCCAAACCTGATTCTGAAGTGCTCGTGTTTTCCCTCTGCAGAGACTGACAGTTCCACTTGCACTGGTAACGCTCATCTCTGCCTTTGGATCATCCTTCCAGTATGGCTACAACGTGTCCGTGATCAACTCTCCAGCCCCGGTAGGTTGGGATGTGGATGGCGATGAAGGAGGAGGTTCAATAGCACAGGGTGGAGGAGGAGCTCGATTACAGGTGTCAGGGCAGGTGTCTGAGCTCCTCGTGCTGCTCCACATGTGGAATCACTGAGCACTGGGGAGCAATGGTCCCTGGCAGAGGACAGGGGCTGTGCTGAGGCTGTGTGGTGGCTTTGTGCCCAGCAGCGATGGGGTGTGGGGAATGCCTTCCCTCCTGAGAAGCAGGCAGATCCGATAAGGCAGGATGATTTGTTTCAAATCCAATAAGGCAGGATGACTTGCATAAGGCAAGGCTTCTCCTGCTCTCCCTTGCATTCTGTTTCTGACTTGGCTGTTCTGGTCTTACCAAACACTTGTTTAAAGTTTTATGGCATTGATTATTAATTAGCTTTTACAATACAGAAGTTCTGCTTGCTGCTAAACACGCTCCATATTTCATTCCAGTACATGCAAGACTTCTACAACCAAACCTACATGAACAGGCATGGAGTCTCCATGGACGAGAGCTTCCAGACACTGCTGTGGTCCCTCACTGTGTCCATGTATCCCCTGGGTGGCTTCTTTGGGTCGCTCATAGTGGGACCTCTGGTCAACAACTGTGGCCGGTACGTGACAGCGGTGTGGCTCAGATAAGGCTGCCCTCACCGGTTGCTCCGGCTCACCAAGCTCTGCAGCATCGCACCGCCTCGATCCTAAAGCAGTCAGCCCAGTGCTGGACTTGGGAATGTGGTGTCTCTCACGTGTAGGAGAATTTATTTGATTCCAGTCTGGTCAAGGCCAGGCTGTGCGCTGGGCTCTGAGCCAGGTGGGCAGCAGTGGTGAAAGTCCTGGGAGCTGCATGCAGGTCTCAGCTGCTCACGTATCCTCAGCTTTCTTCATTGCCTGCAGGGAAAAACAGGAAAACAGCTGTTTTCTTTTGGCTAGTCTTTGGGATGGCAGCTCCTCTGGGTTTTGAACAGCGTAACACAATGGAGGGTCTGTCTGCTAGGGAGGTCTTAGAAGACTAAACTGATTCTGTCTCTCTGTTGCTTTGCAGAAAAGGCACCTTGCTGATAAACAACCTCTTCTCCATTGTTGCTGCAGTTCTTATGGGAACCTCAGAGATAGCAAAAACCTTTGAAGTAATCATTGTATCCCGTGTTATCATGGGGATATATGCTGGTGAGTGAGAGGTTGGATGCTAAAGGAAGAGCAGTAAACCTAATGAAATGGAAAGGTCTTTGCACAACAGGTGGTTTCACAGGTAGCATATTTTAGCCAAATACTTGCATAGCAGTTCTGTGCTTGCTTGAATAGCAGTCCTTCTCTGCGTGTTGCAGAAGTATCAGATCTCTGGCAGACAGTGGCAGTAAGGCTGGGCTGTGGGCTATACTGTCTGTGGCTGCAGCTGCCCTCTGCAGTCAGCATCTGCTCAGCACAAGTGCCATCAGCCTGGAAACTTGCCGATGGTCATCTGTTTTCCCAGGTGTCTTAGAGCAGATGGGCTGTTTTTAAACATAATAAAAAACAGAAAAGTCCTTCCAAGCTCAAGTCATTGAATAGAATGCCAGATCCAGTAATCCACTCCTGGAAATGGTTGTTCTTCCTGCAGGGGTGAAGAAACATGAAAGTGAAGGTTGCAGGGTCACTGGATTTACTGCAAGGCCAGTGGGGAGCTAAGGGGCAGAGTGTGAGTTGGTTTGGTGGCTGTGCTGGAGCTGCAGTAACAGACACCTGACAGGCATGGGATGGCTGGACACCCTCTGCTGCTCTGAGCTCCTGCCAAGCCACACTGATGAGGGTCCTGACACCACTCAGATTTAATTAATTGGCTTTGGCTTAGCAAGACTGATACGCTGTGTAGTTTGTTAGTGAGTTTGGGTATCTGAGAAAACAAACTGGCACAGGAAAACAACGCCATCTATAACATGCTCCAGTTGCAGTTGTTGATCTAAGGCAGGAAACATGTCTAGTCTGTTTTGTTTTGACTTTTTGCTCTCTTAAGCCCAGCAGCTGCTCTTAGCATTGCTTCTCTGACTACAGGTGGAGCTGGTAGGAGGGATCCCTCCAAATCGTTTCAATTATGGGTAACTGACAGAAGAATCAGGGCTGCCTGAGCCCTGCCTCTGGGGAAGGGAGGCTGCTGAATCAATCCAGCCTGGGGCTCCTTTAGAATCCTGGCGTGGTTCCTCCTCGCAAAAGGGAGGCCTTGCAGCTGGGAGGAACACCAAGGCCCTTCTGTGGTGGGCATTTATCAGCATAATTCTGAGCAATTAGCCATTGTTGATTGGAGGCACCGGTCTACAAGTCACTGTTAGCACTTTTTTTTATGAGGGCAATTAGAAGGTTTGTTGTAGCGTCAACATTAAGCACTACACCTCATGAATTTAATTTTATCATGTTTTCCAGTTGTGTTAACATTTTGTTTCTATGCCTTTTGGCCTTCAGATAATGTCTTGAACTCTTTTATAACCCCTAGAACTTGATGGCTGGGAACTTAGTTACCAATGTAAGATAAGAGTTGTTTGGTCATTCGACTTCTAGAGTTTGGGTTTTGCATGCCAAGATTTACATCATAAGTATGGGAACTGGCAGCTTTCAGGGCTGCTGCAGCTAACAGTACTGTGCCCCTGAAGAAAGCAGAAATTCCTCTTCTACCTTTCAATTTGCTTTCCAAACATCCCACTGAAGAGAGAGAAAAAGAGCCGTAGTACACAGCTTCTTTGCTGGATATGGATAACGTTAAATCTTCAGCTAGAGCAAAAGAGCTCAAGTGTGAAGCTTGCATGTGTCCTGTGGTTTAGCAGGGATCACTTTGGTCTCACACATGAGGAAAAAAAGCATCTTACTGCAGATGTGAATGTGCTGATGTCAGGCCGCTGCAGGACTGACCTTGTTCTATCCCTACCAGGTCTGGCCTCCAACGTGGTTCCCATGTTCCTGGGAGAAATGTCCCCCAGAAATCTCAGAGGTGCTATTGGGGTAGTACCCCAGCTCTTCATCACCCTCGGGATCCTCGTAGCTCAGATCCTTGGTCTTACCAGCATTCTTGGGCATGCTGAAGGTAAAGCTTTGGCTCAGGAAATTCTCTGTCGGCTCCGTGGAGGAAAATCTCTCCCAGTCATCATCTTGTCTTGTTTGCTGCAGGCTGGCCCTTGCTCCTGGGGCTCACTGGGATCCCGTCGGCATTACAGCTCCTTTCATTGCCCTTTTTTCCTGAAAGTCCCAGATATCTGCTGATACAGAAGGGCGATGAGGATCAAGCACGACAAGGTATGGCATCTTCTGTTGCATGAAATCCTTAGTTGACGTGTTGGTGGTGGTTGGCTTTTTGCAGCATTGCTCCTTTGCTTCCATGAATTCCCGACTTCCCATCCTGTGAGCAGTACTACTGCCTTGGCTTTGAATGTTGTAATGTCTTGATGTAAAGCAGGAGAGCTTCCTGGGCTCTGTAGCTGATCTTCCTCTCCCAACCAGCTCTGCAGCGTTTGAGAGGCTGGGATGATGTGGATGATGAGATAGAAGAAATGCGCCAAGAAGACAAGTCAGAAAAGGAAGAGGGACACCTCTCTGTGTTCACCCTGTGCACCTTCAGAGGCCTGCGCTGGCAGCTCATCTCTATTGTTGTCATGATGATGGGACAGCAGCTTTCAGGGGTCAATGGAGTGAGTAACAGCAGGGTGGGACTCAGTGTGGGGCAGCACTGGTGTAGGAGCTGGAAACTAGGAGACAGGAGTAGTCCTTTCACCAGGGACACTGGTGATGTTATGGGGGAATCAGCCTAACCTGTACCAAACTGAGTATGCACGTGGTTCTGAGTCCAGCTGTCCTGTGAGGGTAGTTGGGATGTTTTTGGAATGAGATGCTCGTGTCTGGATCTTAACACCCACATCTCCAGTACTGAAATAGTTTTTGAATTCCTGTGTCCCACTTCTAGGGTTGTAGAAACAACCAGAGTAGGATTCCTGTGCTCTGCTGCTGGCCACGTTTAAACACAATTGCTTTTGCTGCAGGTCTTCTACTATGCGGACAGAATCTTCCTGTCAGCAGGTGTGGAGGCCAACAACGTTCAGTATGTCACTGTGTCCATAGGTGCCATCAACGTTCTCATGACTTTCCTTGCTGTAAGTTTCTGTTGGGGCTCTCTGAGCCTCAGTGATTTTGGATGTTTGGTTTCCAGGCTGCTCTGGCCTCCTCTTGCCATGCAATGCTCCCCTACAGCTCTCTGGAGCTGGGTACCAAAAGAGGGCATGCCTGGCTTTTTGCAGTTCCTGGGTGACTTCTTACTCACAATACATTAGCAAATGGGGGAAATTTCACTGCATTTCTTAATAGCCAAATATTACTTTAATAAAATTGGGTAGAATAAAGCTCTGTGCTTTGATTGTTTGATCTCTTACCCTCTTCTGTCTCTTTCAGGTTTTCATTGTGGAGTCCTTGGGAAGGAGAATCCTGCTGCTTGCTGGCTTTGGGTTGTGCTGCGGCTCCTGTGCAGTGTTGACTTTGGCCCTAAACCTCCAGGTTTGTAGCTGCATCACCCTGGTGCTCCTGGTGTATTTTGGAGTTGGTGTGGGAGGTCTCTCAGTACCTGCATATCTATCCGAAGTGAACCCAGGCAGAGCCATGATGCTGCTGTGTGAATGTTTCTCCCTGCCTATTGTGTTCGTGCCTGTTGCATCCTGTAGCTGGAAGCAAAGGTGGTACACAGAGCATGAGCTCAACAGCTTGGCATGTCAGCTTGGGCATAGCTGGCAACAGGGGATGACTTCTGAACACCCCCAAATCTTGTTTCAATTAATGCCTTGAATGTGTTGGTGACTTTGAGCTGAGAACCAACTCTTAACTCCTGATTATATTCTTCACAGAATACTGTCTCATGGATGTCTTACCTCAGCATAGTGTGTGTCATCATTTACATCATTGGACATGCTATTGGAGCCAGTGAGTACGCACAAGTTAGCCCAGTCCCCTCTGCAGGTTGGGTAAAGGCAGGCATTACACTAAGCATCAAAGCTCTGTGGGGCTGATCTGAGAAGGTCAAATTCCTCCTGTGCAACCATGCACCTGGCTGATTGTCAGCTAGATTGGTGCTCCTGTGCCCATGAGGCAGGGGAGCATCTGGCTTTCAAAAGGAAAAGCCAAGGCACAGCTGAGTTTGTATTGAGTTGTCCAGTGAGATCTCAAGCAAAGCTGTGTTGAGATTGGTGAGACCTACCAGCTGGGCTGTGATGCTGTGTGCCTGCATCTTTAGGAATGCCTTTGGAATTTCCATGCATACAATACTTCCAGGTCCAATCCCCTTTGTGATGATCACTGAGATGTTCCTGCAGTCGTCCCGGCCTGCTGCCTTCATGGTGGGTGGATCTGTGCACTGGCTCTGCAACTTCACTGTGGGACTCGTGTTCCTCTACATGGAGGTAAGGTGTGAGCAGGGGATGGCACATGGCTCAAAATTAGTGATCTCTGGGTCACCAGTTCGCACCGATCCTAGTAGAAGTGACCTATAAATTGCTATAATGACTGATTTTAGCCTGTGCAAGGGGAACTGGTGAATTCACTTGAACTTGTGTAAGAGGTCCTCACCCTTAGGCGTCTTTTTCAGTAAATCCATGGTGGTTTCCAATAAATCCATCTTGGTGGTATCAGAAGACAGGATCCTGAACCACCACTAGCTTTGAGTTGTTCCACTTGAAGGAACGTTACTGTGGCTGCATGAATTGCTATTGCAGGATTCAGCATGCCCAAGCGTGTACTGACCACAATTGGAGTACTGCCCTGATTCTTGCCCTGTCATCTTTCATTGTCAGGCTGGACTAGGGGCCTACAGCTTCCTCATCTTCTGTGGTATATGCCTCGCCACCATGATCTACATCTTCTTCATTGTACCTGAGACGAAGAACAAAACCTTCATGGAAATTAACAGAATCATGGCCAAGAGAAACAAGGTGGAGATTCAGACAGACGTAGAACAGATGATGGATTTGCAGACTGTTCCAAGTGTGAAGGCAGACAAGCCAGAAGTTTTGGGCAGTGATCTGTGACACAACCCAGTGCTTCGCCTGGCCCAGGTGTTTTCCAGGATCTATTCAGTGGAAGAATATGGCTCAATTCTGACCTTCATTCAGACTTTCTGCACAACTCCCACAGAAGTTTTCAAATAAGCCTTTATTCTGTCTTAAGGTTGTTCTCATTTTGAGTAATCAGTAGGACCACTCTGTTTTGTGGCACGGTGACTTCAGTGGCAGATTTCCCATTCCTTGTATTTGTCACTAGGAAGGGGCAATGCCTGCCGTCAGCTCAGTTCCTGTGATTTGGGAACTGATGTCACAGTGTGGTGCGTGCCCCTTATGTCCTGAGTGAACCATCTCAGGTGACACGGAACAGCACCTGGGCTGGGTTTTGGTCAGTCGTGTGCAAGGAGTGCATTGTACTCCTTGACCATTCCTTGAACACGAATTTGAGGGTCCAACGTGTGTGAGGGCAGGCCTTTGGTGCTTGGTGTTCTGTGTGGAGAGTGTGTCAGATACACCAAGGTGCTCTGATAGATGTGTTCCTAGAGACATGTATCCTGTCACCTGTACGAAGGACCATAAGACTGGAAATGCACGTGACTTTAATCTCACTCCCACCCTGCTCATCAGATGGACTCCTGGAAAGCTAACAGTTGCTGGTGAGTCCTTCCAGAGCCTTATTCTTGAGCTTAGGAGTGTTCCATTGGCCCTGTGCTTATTCATGGGCTGCTGATGCACAGTTGTTCCTGTGGCACTCCAGTCTTTGGAAATAGCTCCTTTTGTTCCTTAGTGCTCTCACAGAAGCTGCCAAAGAGTTTCAGCCCCTCTCCAAATCCTTTAATAGCCCCCAGAGGTACACTCTGTGTATATGAGCCAGGTGGAGATCATTCCTTCCCAGAGATGTGTGAACTTGCTGCGTGCTGGGGTCAGGTTTGGGCAGATTCCTGTGCAGTGGCCGTGTTTCCAAGCATGTTCAGATCCGCCTTTAAGCACCTTGGTGTGAGACACTAGGAGTAGTTTTCCAAAGAATTTCTCAGGGACCTGGTTTCTTGAAAAAGTTCTCAGCTGGTCTAAAGGTTGATCCTTGAGTGGTTCCTTCTAGTTGTGTCCCTAAGGGCACAGCTCCACCTGAAGGCTGAACCGGTTTGGAGGAGCCAAGTCTGAAGAACTAGATCTGACTCACCAGGGAAATAAAAATGCACACTGATAAATGGAGGATTTATTAAAGTATTTATTAGTGTGAAGGATTACAGGGCTAACTCAATTATTTAACATGTGGAAATAGAGTTAATTGTGCAATGTTGCTGCTCTCTGTTGGGGGAAAGAAGCAGAATGGTTCAACAGCCTGGCATGGACTTTGGTGATAGCCCTTTGTGTGATGTACTTCAACTTAGGAGATGAGCTTCATGCAGACCCTCAATCTTGTCTTGTGATGTGCACCTGTTGGAAATGAAGCTGCTCCCATGCTCTGTCTCCATCCACTGACAGCAAAGACTTGTCATCAAGTGACTGTGTGGGAGCTGCAGTGCCCTTTGCATACACCTTCTTACGTGATACCCCTGCAGCAGCAGTGACTTGGTGATAAATGGAAATAAAGCATGGTGCAGGAAAGGCACTGAGAATGGAGATGGGATGTGGGAAGTGAGAAAAGTTTGGCTAGAGAGAGCTGTTTCTCTAACCAAAGAGAGTGGCGTGTGGGATACAAAAGGAAGGTCCATGGGTGGAAATCTTAACCTAGTAGTAGGAGGGATGTGTAGATACAAGGTGGTGAACTGTGCTTCGTTCTTTGCCTCTGTCCCACTGACCAGTGGAGGCTGTGCCACCTCGTACCTGCTTGGAAAACAACCTGGAGCACTAAGCAGGTGCCTAGTGACCGTATACAAAGTAAAAGAGGAAACAGGCAATTAACCTAAAACAAGCAGATGGAGCAAGCTTTCCATCCTCAGTTTCTTCAGCAAGAAGTTTGGGTTTTTCAGCTGCTTAAAAAATATATATATTGGGGTCACTGACAGCTGGTGTCAGCCTCCAGCACCACCCCCCCAAAGAGGGTCATGGGGGTTTCCCCCCATGCAATGACATCTCCCTTCAGCTTTCCTGCTTTGCACTGTGCAAGTGACCGAATGTCTGCAGGGCTGAGGACTTGGCTCCACAGGTTCACATGCGTCATCCACCCTGCAAACCCATTGGAGAACGTCCCAAGAAGAGTGTCCCTGTCCTTCCCAAGGACAAGCATCCCTCCAGCCTGGCTCACATAGCCTTTCTGGATGCTCTTTGCATCACCAGCAGCTCCATTGAGCCACAGACTTGCTATTCCAGACTGGGAAGCCCACGCCATGCAGTAATGCAGCCAGTCCTGTGCCTTGTGGTAGAGGGGGAATCTGACAAAATGGCCTCCTATCCACAATCCCACGTCTGTGCCTGTGGTCATCACCAGCTCGTTGTCCCTCTCCCGTGTGGAGTAGGAGAGAACAGTCTGAGTGCCCACGTGCTGGACTTGTGTCCAGAAGCACAGGGTGAAGGCTTGGAGAGACATCTCATGGCTGGGACGAACCTCCACAAAGCTCTCAATGTTTTCCATGGGGAAGTAGAAAGCTGGGAAAGTGCTGGATGTAATACCTGAAATGATTGAGAAGCCAGCTCAGTTATGTCTTCTCTGGTGCTTGCAGATGAGCCCAGCTCCTACAGAATACCCACAGGTGTAGGTGTAGGTGGCAGGGGCTGCCTCAGCCATGCTTATTGGTTTGGCTCCCTCACCCAACTCTTTTGGGAAAAATCCTTTTTTTCCTCTTCCTTCCTTTGTTCCCGTCTTTAGTAAAATGAAGATAATGAGTATTTATCCTGGGGGAACAGTGAGCTTTAATGCCTCCCTGTTTGTAAACCTGTGCTTACACGCTGCAGGACAAGCTGCAGTTGCTGGGAGAGGTGCTAGATTTGGGCTGGGTTTAATGATGCTGTAGCTCATGGAAGTCTTCCAGTTGGCCTAGGCATGGAACAAGAGTCTACCTGCACGCATCGGTACCAAACCTGTTGATGATGTAGGCCATCAGAACAGCAGGCCTGGGCCATCCTTGGAAGGAAAGCTGGACTTAGAAACAGAGTGTTTCTTACCTGTGTGGCTCACTCCATTCAGGAACTCTTTCTTCATGTCTCGGAGCTGTGTGTGGATTTGTTCCAGTTTGAGGCTGAGTTCTTCTGGCTGGCATTGTTCTAGAGCAATCAGACAGATGGGGGCTTTCTGAGAGCCAGGAGCTACGTGTGGTAATTCTGCTTGCCAGTTTGCAGGAGGTATGCAGGAAACCTTGCTTTAAAATGCAGTGATTCGCCCTAATTACAGCACTTGGCTCGTTAGCCATGGCAGAGCTGTTTGTACACCGGTTCGTGTGCTTCACCCATGCAGAGGCAGGCACACAACGTACTGTGTGAAGTCACAGAGCAACACCAATCCTGGGCTGTGCGACACTTCCAGCGCACCAGAGTGCTGCCACCCGACCTGCGGCCGCTGCCGCACCATCAGAAGCAAGATGCACGGCAGGGACACAGCTGTTCTTGGGGATTGCAGTAGTTTTACCTAATTGAAACGGCTTGCAGCCCAGCTCCTTCCTGCCTCATACCTTGTCTGGGCCTGGCTTGGAAGGAGGCCTCCACCACGCGGCCGTGCAGGGGCTGTGCGTGCCGGTAGTCGTTGCGCAGCGTCCTGTTGTGCCAGTCCAGCAAGGTGTTCTCCAGCAGGCCGATCTGGGGGCAGGGCAGCCTTGTTATAAGGGCAGAGGGACCGAAAGGTTAGCCTAGAAGTGCAGGGCAGATCCTGCAGCTGGGGGTTAAACACAGTCATTTGTGTGAGGTCTCTCCCAGAGCATTGACAAGGGAAGGGAATGGCAGTCAATGCTCTAATCAGCAAAGTGGTGCTGATGAAGGTGTTTTGCCTGAAGGAAGTAATTCTACGTGTTATGCATGGATGAAATTATTCTGTGGTATACTGCCTATATTATGAGTGCCCACTAATGCCTTCCCCACCACAAAGTATTTCATTTTTAAATACAAACACACTGTCATCCTCCACTGCTGTCATCTCCACTTGACCTTGTTCTCTTGGAAACAGTTTGATGCTTTTTTTTCATTACAAAAGATGAACTGCTCTGCAAGACTCACCCGTAAGCTCACTTTACTGCTGCTATTTGTTCTCTGCCAAAGCCTTTGTGCTGACAAGGCAGAGGGAGGGCAGAGCTGGGCATCCTGCCGTGCAGCAGCATCCAGCTGCTGGCTCTGAGCACAGGGACCTGCACACAACGAGGTCCTCAGCAATAACTCAGCCAGAGCACGGACGAACCCCCCACTGCATAGCCAAAATGCAAAGAGAAAAGAAACACTTCTCTAGAATTGTGCCAAGTGTTCTGCAATTATTTTAATGCCCTGAATGGCCTCATCTATGATTTTTTTTTTTTTCCTTCTCTCCCTCTTTTGTAGTACTTTTCACCTTGTTGACTCTGGCTGGTCCCTTTAGTACTTCATCATGGCTGAAAAGCTGAGCAGAGCCTTGTTATTGCTCAGCAGACCTCAGGTCTAACAGCCACACCAGTCATTCCAGTTGCTTTTGAGTCTATCTGTAAGGCCCTATGAAAGACATCCTAGTAGTTCTGCAGGCTCTTCTTTTAGGTCACTGGAGAATGGAGAATGAAACTGGCGTGGAAGAAAAGTGTGGAGGAAAGAGAAACTGTTGTGCTGCTGAGCAGCCCCCAGGTACCTGTGCATGTGACAGGATGATAGGAGAGTCGAAAACGGTCCAGGTGACACTCTCAGAGCAGGGTGGGGTTGTGAGCGAGCCCTGGTACCTGTAGAAGTGTGAGAGGTTTTCTGGCAGCATGGCTTGGACGTCCAGAGAGGTGAGCTTGGTTGACTGACCTCAAAAGGAAACAGAAGCAGTGTTAGCTGTGAGCAAAGCCAGCAGCAGGGCTTTGCCCCAGTACGTATGTAGAGGCTTAAAGAGCATCGAGGACGGAGAAGGGCAACCAAGCTCTTACCTGCAAACCTGATTTTTGCCAATTTGGAAATGAATTCACTGTAGTAGGTATTCTCCAGGTGTCCTTCCTAAACACAGCACAGAGAGTTGAAAGGTTGCTGAGCTGCCTGGTCTTCAGTAGCACTGCTCTGCCTCAATCTCTTGTAGACCAGGCATGTAGCCCTACTGCAGGCAGCTGGACCAGTGTGGGATGAATAGTGACCATGGGCTGTCATTGCTCAGCTTCCCATGGGTCAAACCTACCACATACAAGAAGGCAAGCACTGCCAGTCCATTGGGTTTGTCTTTGGCTTCTTCAAAGCTTGAGTAGTCTGCAGAGTTGTAATGGACGATGTGCAGCTGCCAAGAGAGAGACAGGGCCATGGAGCAAGAGGTGACAAAAGACTGCCTCATCCTCATCACCTTCAAGGACTATATCACAACCTCCCTGGCCCCATCCCTCCAGCCTCCTTTGCAGGTACCTCTGCCACATATCTCATCCCATCCAGCGTGTGCTCGGAGCCGCTGGTCTCCAGGTCCAGGCCTCCCCAGTGCAGGTGCATCTGCACTGCGGTGTAGGGGCGCGGGAGCCCACGGGAGATGGACAGGGTGGGTGGCAAATCAATCTGGACTGAAAAACAGGATTGGAGATGGCCATAAGTGTGGAGCTGGTTCTGCTAGCTGTGTCTGCAGGGTTTTTCCCAGCTGGGCAGCTGCGTATTTTATTTTTTTTTCTCAGGCACCAATAAAAATGCTTTAATGTTTGTTCTTGGCATAGTACATCACATCTTGCTGAGCTCTGCATGCATTCATTAATGTCTTTATTCCCAGGCAGAACAGAGGAGTAAGAAATCAGCCAAGCGACTGGCCTTACCTAACCTGTCACCATCACTTTCCATGCTCTGGGACGTGCATCTCCTTGGGACAGCCGTGCGGGGCCAGAGCCCCATGAGCCTGAGCAGGCAGAGCTCTTTGTTTCTTTATGAAGGGTATTCACCAAGGCACTACAAAAAATTGGTTTTCTGCTGGTGTGCTGCCACAAATCATATATTGTGGTGTTAAACACGCCGAACTGAATACTGCAAGTGGAGAATTGCCTGATCCGGGCGATAGCCCAGAGCACGTTATAAAATAGCAGCTCTCCTTGCTGAAGAGCACATCGTTACTCACAGCTTGGGTTAGAGGCTTATTTGTTTGTTAGCTATTGACAGGCAGACAAGATGAGAACGCATTTCCATGTGACATCCCAAGGGATCTGCGGTGGAGAGTAAGCACACACCTTACTTTTTACACTAGATTCCTGCTGAGCGCTTTCCATTAGGAGTTCCTTGTGGAATACTGCCGTCCTGTCTTCCCTCACCAAAGTCAGTGGGAAAACCAAGCCTGCTATGATGGTATCTGTGCTTACAGACTGTCATCTGCCTTGTGCTTTATCAGAATGCCCCACACGTCACTGTTTTGATGTTAGCATGAGAATGGGGGAAAAACACACGTGCAGTCAGAGATGTGAATGATAAACCTGCAGAACTGGTGTGCAGGCAGTTGGGCAGTGCTGCTATGGGAGCTCACGGAACGCAGGGTTTGTGTGGGAGACAAACAGGAGTGCTGTTCATGACAGACTGCAGAAATA